AGGCTGTCTCAGTTGGGACTGAACACAAAGCCCCAGGGCAACAAAGACTGAACACGAAGCCCTTCAACACTATTACACAGAAACATCAGCAGTGTCCCAAGGCAACTATCTGCTCTATGCATTCCCTACAGAGAAACATGCAATGTCCTAGGATTTTGCAGCAATCTCTAAAAACTTACGAACATCAGGAAGTGCAGGGAGCCCCACCATTGGTCCCAACAAAATGTAACATTTTAGACACTGAAAAGCAATGAATTTGGGCCCAGGGTCCAAACTGGGTGCCATAGGAAATGCTCCATAGAAACAGTTAAAATATCTAAGGATCCCCAAAATATTTTAGAAGATAAAACATAAAAACTATATAATCCATTTCAGGTGCATGTTTATTTCTCCTATGCCAAAATCACCTAGAAAGAAATACATTTATCACATTACTTGCTTTGTCAGCATCTAAAAAATTGCATTTTGTTTGGCTTAGTTTGAATATAGTATAAGTACGGACTACTGATGCTGAGCTGGTTTGATGGAAGAGCTTTTAACCACTGACAATTCTGAATTCAGTTGGAACTTTACTGCCAGAATTCTCCAAAATTCTGATTAAACAAAATGCCACAACTTTCTTTGCAAGTACAGACACAGGGTCCAATCCCAGATCTTCAATTTTAAATGCTGGTAGGACAAAACACTCTCAATTATGCTCGTCTTATCAAGCAGGGATCCTGGTTTTCTCTGATTTAAAAAAAAATCCCCAATTTCCAAATTAAAAAAAAAAAGTTGGTCAAAATCCATATTTTTCTGTGATTAAAATTAAATGGTGTTTCATTGTAATCATGGAAAAAAATAACATTTTTCTGTGATTAAGATGATGCAATTAAGGTTCTTCATCTTAATCACAGAAAAAATGTGAACTTTGTCTCAGTTTGTTAAATGTTTTATCAATTTAATTAATACCCTTGAACTTTTAGCTGCCTGGAATTTGCCTCCCTGGCATGATTAGAGACCTGGGGATGTTTTGTTGGCAGCATTTGATCATCAATAAATTCAGACTAATAAAGAACAGCTTGCATAGTCTAGTAGCTTCAGTGGTGAAGAGGCCTGCCTTGTTAGTTAAAAGTAGGGAAAGAGAAGAGGTAGGTGCAGGCAGCATCCCTTTTCATATCTTTCCAGCTGTTGTCATGGAGCTTTGGGGTAGAGGAGCAATCACTTAAGTCTTACCTTGGATCCTTTTGGTCTGAGGTATGTAGCTAAGGTACTCTATGTTTCATGGATACAGTAATTATTGCTGCCTTCTGATAACTGATAGGCAGGAAGCAATCTGAGCTGCTAATCTGCTTATGTCCTCTGTTCCATGGTGTATTCTCCTTTAGCCTGTGTAGCATACACTCATATTACTGTTTTCCTGCTCTTTTCCTTCCCTCTCCCCTTCCTTGTTTGGTTTACTCATGTCACATCTTTTCTTAAGTTACTCCTATGGAAAGCTATTTGGCAGAGACTGCTTTTGCCATCCATACAATACCTGGTATAATATGGTTCAGACAGGTATGACTTCTAGATATGAATGCGATACAAATACTAATCAAGAAGTTAGTGGTTTTGTTGAAAAAGACAAGAACTGGGCATCTAGACCAGGTCTAATTATTTAGAAAACCTCTACCAGAAGATGTAAATCTTAATGAAGTTAATAGTGGGAAATAGTTACCACAAGACAGGTTGTTAGTAAGTACAGAGGCAGCCACTACCCTTCAAGCGTTTGAATGATTTAAATGTTCCCTGCTAACAGTGAGATATAGATATTAGTGGTTTTTCATTTTAATCACAGAAAAATGTGAATCACAGAAAAAATTGATGATTTTCTGTCATTAAAATTAAACACCGTTTTATTTTAATCACAGAAGATATAGATTTGGGATTTTTTTAATCTGAAAATTTGGGGATTTTTTTATCAGAGAAAACCAGCACCCCCACTTATCAGGTAAGTTTAGCTGCTTCATCCTACGCCAAAGCTCAAGTTACACAGCTGCTCTGAATTGCTTTTTGATTTTGTCCCAATGGGCTTTCAACATTGATGTTAATTAAATCAAGGCAGTTTTCCAAAGGGACTTCAACAGTATTCATACACCTGTAATCCATTCATTGCTGCCCCAAGAGAACCCTCAGTTGCTTTTATAAATGTAATGCCTCTTTACAGTCTCCTGTGTTTTGTAAAACATGTTTTGTTTTGATGAACAGTCTTCCTGATGCTCAGCACCTATTTCATTACACCAAAGCTAAGTGAATGCAGACACAATCTTCCTGAGAATTCTACCAAGCTACTGTATTAATCCTCCTCTCTCTACTAAGCAACTAATAGGAGAAGGAACAGGAATGCACAATTTTTTTGATTTCCACAATATACCCAGAGGTGGATAAATGAATGTGCCAAACAGAACAGGGTAAAACCAGTTTGTATGCCAATGTGAAACTGGATCACCCCAGAAGCTAACAGATGCAGGAGTACCACTTACTTATACTAGCTTAGCGCAGTCACGTGAGACAGGGCTTACTCTGTTTCACACAAAGGGACGGTGTTGTACGTGCTTGGTGGCTGTTGCAGCCCACTCCACCTTTCTGCCCCCACCCCCTCGTCATAGAAATCATCCTGAACTCTGTGATATTAGGTCTGAGGCACTTAAAAGTCTCAAGCTTTAACTAGCTGGTCACTAACAAGCTATCAGTAAGAGTAAACAAGGGTGACAGGACCATTTCACACCACATAGGGTTACCACAGAGGCCTATTGCCTCCAGCTCCTTGACTTGCTGACCATAAAACAGTCTGCTTCTGGCAATGTGCACAGTGTTGTGTCACCATATTCACAATTACCTCATTATCCTCACTTGTACAAATGATTTGTTGGGCAAGGTGACTCATAGGAATTAGAGAAGAGGCTGTGGTTGACAAAGCTCTTACAAAGTTCACAGTGGACCTGCACAGCATGCTTTTGCCTAGTACCTGTGTGTTCTTGGGAGAAGAAATCATCAACATGAAGGAGAATTTAGGATCATCTAAAAATCCTTTATCACTGACTCTGCATGCAGGGAAAAACAGGAAGTTGGGAGAGTGTAGTGCTGCACATATGAGATGATCTGTAGTGTTGGGAGAACTTGAAGATAAAGAAGGCCACATTCTCTGCAGAGCTTGCCCCAAAGTAAAGGAAGCAGACCACCTATATGAGAGTCTTTTTGAGTGTAAGGAAGAAGGTGATAGCGATCTGGAACCTAGCAAATGCTGACTGCCACCAATCTACAGCCAGCCAGTTCAGCATGGGGAAATCTACTGCTAGACCTGCTCTGTGTAAGGTGAGAGCAGCCTTCAAGAAGTTGCTCATCCCAGGAGTTTTCAAATATCTAGGAGGTGACTGATGGCTTCATGCACATGGGGTTTTCTGATTGCAACAGGGCAATCGATGGCACACAACCTGATTCTTGCCCCTATAGCCAGGGCCCAGAGCACATCCACAGAAAAGGTTATTACTTGGTTGTATTTCATTGTAGTATTCCACTGTGGGAGATTCACATGGGCCACTTCTGGCTGCTCCACCAACTTGCAAAACTCCAGGCTTTCCACAGCTCAGCCCTGCTCGCCATGCTGAGATGAGGACTGCTTACTGGCCACTCCTAGCATTGAGTTCAACAGTGTGACCCTGCCCTTGCTTACCTTAGTGACCCAGACTACCCACTGCTCCTGCGGCCCAGGAAGTTGAGACTGTGACCTGCAGGATGACAGCAGAATATGCCTTTGGCTGGCACAAGGCCAGCTGGGGGTTGCCTGTTGGTTGGCTGGATGTATCTGACCATCATGTTTGCACAAGGTCCTGTTGCATTCTGTACATTGGCAGGACAAGGCTGTGTCAGTGAGTGAGGGATATGAGGAATTGGTTTAGTGGCTCTCCTGGTAATCTAACTGCCCAGACCTATTGTTCCATGGCACTGACAAGGGGCCGTGAAGACTCAAGGTAATTTTCACTGGCTACCTTGAGGAAGGTCAAGATGTAGTCAACATCCTCCAGGAGCACAATTGCTCTAACCATGAGCTTTTCTGTAGCTGGACCCACACTGGGATCTATGTACAGAAGACACAGTACTAATAAAGCTTGCTGAATAAACAAACTATTGGTGATTATGGGAAAAAACAACAAAACCACATGCACACAAAGTGGAATGAATGGTTTGGTAACATCCACCAGGAGCATGGAGCAATAAAGAGAACTGTGAGCACAAAGTGCCAATAAACAAGGCAGCAAAGTACATTGCAACAGCATGCAGCAGATGGGGAGGCAAAAAAGAAGAGGGGAAAAATGTGTACAGCAAATGGACTTCAAGCCTGGTGGTAGTGGGGTCATTTAGGGCCTCAGAGAAGCAGCTCTGCTGTCCATTGCATGGTCTGAAGCATCAAGGCAAAAAGACAGGGACACAAGAGCTCAGCTCCCAGAAAGAGCTCTCTCCCAGGAAAGTAGAAACAGGCTGGGGTACTCCAGCTTACATGCTGCTGACCTTTAAAAATGATGCTATCAAAGGACTGCAGCATACTCAGCAAATGCCCAGGTGACTTGAGTTGTGTCAACATTATTTTGGTGCCAGTGTCCTCTGGATTTGCTTGGGTATTAGCTAAGACCCCTGTGTGATGACAGGTCCTGGCTTTGGATAGAACTTCCATGCCCCTCATTAGGGTCATTGCTGGAGCTGGTCACAAATCATGGCGTGATGCTGGTGTCATCTGCCAAAACCACATCATGTTCCTCATAAGAGGGCCACATGACAGCTGCAGGGGTTTCTGGGCTCTTTACAACACCACTGGAAGTCCTTTGTCTTTGTTCTGCCCTGCTGTGGGTATCCTGCAGGTAGCCTGGTGCAGCCACCTGTGATGTACTAGTTTCATAGACAGTTGGTTCTTTCTGGGTTTTTTTCCTCTAAATACCTGTGGAACCTCTTTGACTGAGCCTACAGAGCAATGAAGTCAGTACCTTGTGTTCTAGTTGTTGGTGCAGAAGGCTGGAATTGGCATATATGGTAGATGGTGATAGGTTGGGAGTAGGTGATGGCAAAAGGCTGGCAGCAAAGGTTGCAGAGATGAAACATGGAGGGGGATTTTCCAAGAGAAAGTCCTAATTCAAGAAGCAGTCAAAGCAGGAACAGCCTGATTCAGGCTTTGCATGAGATTTTAAATTGGCCAGGTCATATTTATGAACCTGGCATAGCCAAGGTGGAGAGGAGGCCAGGGTTGACACCTCTGGTAGGGTACAAAAGAGCATGGCAGGCCAATCATCAAAATCAGGAAAGGGTTTGGGACAGTCACGCCCTATGCCACTGTATTCTGTACCAATAAGTATTTAGCCTTAACTCTTCCAGGGGTGAGTTGTCTGACTGGAAAAAGTTAAGAAGTTTCAGGTGAGCATCAGCTGTTCATGACTTCTGAGCTGAACAAGAATTATTTCTGGTTTGCTACAGAGAGGCAGTCAGCTGTGTCTGAAGTTTGGCAGAAAGCAGGGTAGGGGTGGCCAGGCTGTGGCATGGGTGTCACAAGTCATGGGCAGCTTATGTATGTGGCAAAGGGCAAATTGGGGAGGGAGCAGGCAGCACAGTGGCAGAGAGAATCACAGAAAATAAGGGCCGGAAAGGACCTCAGGAGGTCATCTAGTCCAGCCCCCTGCTCAGAGCAAGCCCATCCCCAGTTAGATCATCCCAGCCAAGGCTTTGTCTACCTGGGTCTTAAAAACCTCCAAAGATGGAGATTCTACAACCGCTCTGGGTAACCTGGTCCAGTGTTTTACTGCCCTCCTAGTCAGAGAGTTTTTCCTAATATTTACCTACACTTCCCTTGCTCCAGCTTGAGACTTGCACCTTGTTCTGTCATCTGCCACCACTGGGAACAAGTCCAGCTCCATCCTCTTTGGAACCCCCTTCAGGTAGCTGAAAGCCACTATTAAGTCCCCCCTCTCACTCTCCTCTTCTCTAGACCAAGTAAGCCCAGTTCCCTCAGCCTCTCCTCAGAAGTCATATCCCTCAGCCCCTGAACCATTTTTGTTGCCCTCGGCTGGACTGTCTCCAATTTGTTCACATCCTTTCTGGGGAGGGGGGGCAAAACTGGACACAATACTTCATATGTAGCCTCGCCAGTGCTAAATAAAGGGGAATAATCACTTCCCTTGATCCGCTGACAACACTCCTATCAATGTGGCCCAGTATGTTGTTAGCCTTCTTGGCAACAAGGACGCATTGCCGGCTCATATTCAGCTTTTTGTCCACTGTAATCTCCAATGTCTTTTCTGCAGAGCTGCTGCTTAGCCAGCCGTCCCCAGCCTGTACCGCGGTGTGCAATGGCAAGCAGCAGGAAGCAGAGCTGAGCAGAGCCCGGGCAGGGGTGGAGGCGAACCTGGAGTGGCGCTGGGGGCTATTCTGCGCCCCTCCCTTGCACGGGGCACGGACTAACCGGTCCTGGGAGGTCCGAGCTGCCGCCGCAGGCTGCTCCGCGAGGCGCAGCCTGGGGCAAGGTCCGGCCCCTCTGAACGAGTCCGTCCGGCGGCGCCGCCCAGTAGCTGACACGTTTCCCCGCTCCGACCGCCGTGCCCTCGCCCTTCCTGTAGCTGCCGCCGGCCCCGCACCGCCCGG